TGAACTTCTGAACCTTCACCCTTTTTTTTTCTCCCATAGAAGGGAAAAGTGGCCAAAGACCTTGAAAATCTCCAAGATGATTAAGTAAGAATCCATGCTCCAAGTTAGAATTGACTGTGACATTAAACTTCAAAACCACATATCATAATTAACTTATAGCTAACCATGGATAAAGGAGTCTTTCTGAAACCCAATACTTCAGGTGATTTTGCTCATGTGAAACACTGAGAAAAAAATTAGTATTGCTCCTTTCAGGATCCCCTCCAGATATTTCAAGTCTTGGCCTGGAGATGACCTTGGGTTGGGGCCAGATTCCTGCTCTTCATATACGTTCTATCATTCTGGAAAGGTTCTGGATACTGGATAGGCTGTGTGCGCTCATACAAGCTGAATCATTAGGTGATGAATTCTTTGGCTCATGCAACCCACAAAACAAAGTGACTTCATGAAAGGGCAGAAAAAAGGAGAATTTGAGGTGACTGCTTCCTTAAACCTTCAGTTTAAAAACCATATTAAAACTACATCAAATTAATTTGAATGGGGAGGGGCAGAGGGAGTTTCCTAATAGGAAATTCAAACTTACCATAGTAATCTTGTGAAAGATAATGAGAGAGAGCTGAGTTGTAAACATGGAAAAAAGTATTTAACTTCTTTAAGAAGTAAGCTGGTCATAAAAGTCAATTGCCAGCAATGAGCTTACAAGAAGAATTGATTAGAGTGGAGCAGCTAGGTGGTGCAGTGGATAGAGCACCGGCCCTGGACCTGAGTTCAAATCTGGCCTCAGATACATAACACTTACTAGCTGTGTGACCCTGGGCAAGTCATTTAACCCCATTGCCTAGTCAAAAAAAAAAAAAAAGAATTGATTGGAGCTTTAGGGGAGCAGACCCTCCAGGACAAGGGCTTCAGTAGTTAGTGTTGGCCCTCTAGAAGCAGGTGACCAGAGTATGATCCCAACAGCATGAATCAGATCTTCTCTGAGAACATTGTTGATAGTAACTTACCAGGCAGGCAGAAAAATCATGGAGGAATTTAGAATTTTCACGCTAACATCAACATCTTTCCTCTTCCAAACATACCAATGACTGTCTATGGAACTACCATCTTGCCAGTCACCTAAGACTCAAAACCTGGGCATTGTCCTTATCTCCTTTCTTTCATCCCCCCCCCAATATGTCCAATCTATTGCCAAGGTTTGTTGATTCTACCTTTGAAACCCATCTAGAATATGCACCCATCTCTCCTCTAATACTGTCCCCCAGACCCAATCTGATGCAGGCCCTCATCACTTCACTCCAGGACTACTGAAATAGGCTGCTGGTGGGACTGTCTGCCTCAAGTTTTTCCTCAATTGTCTGTCAAATTGATCTTCCTAAAGTACAAGTCTCACCATATCACTCCACTATTCAATAAACTCAAGTGGCTCCCTATTACCATTTCCAGGTGGTGTGTGTGTGTGTGTGTGTGTGTGTGTGTGTGTGTGTGTATCTACACTATCTATCTATCCATCCATCTGTCCATTCATCTATCCATCCATCCATCTATCTGCCTATTTATCTATCTATCCATCCATCCATCTGCCTATCTATCTATCTATCTATCTATCTATCTATCTATCTATCTATCTATCTCTTCCTAAAGTACAAGTCTGACCATATCACTCCCCTATTCAATAAACTCAAGTGGCTCCCTATTACCACCTCCAGGTGGTGTGTATCTAGCAAAGTGAAAGTATTCTTATTCTGTTTGCAACAAGAATCTCTTTTCATGGGACAAGAGTCTTTCACCTTTCACCTTATGTATTCAGAATCTTTCACCTTCAAATACCTTTAGATTGATTTGACTACTCTTTAAATGCAAAAGGACATGACAGTGTTCAACACCCCTCAGTCACAGCGAGACAAATGCTATATTTCTTGTTAGGCATGAAGTCATGCACATGAAGAATATTAATAATAATTACAATAGCTAACATCTGTATAGTGCTTACTATGTGCCAGGTACCATGCTAAACGCTTTACAATTATCTCATTTGGTCCTCCCAATAACCTTGAGAGGAAGGTGCCATTATTACCCTCCCGCCCCCCCCCCCCATTTTACAGATGAGGAAACAGGGAGAGAGGAAGTGACTCGTCCAGGGTCATACAACTAATGAGTGTCTGAGGCCAGATCTGAATTCAGGACTTTCTGATGCCAGGCCCAGTGCTCTATCCACTGAGCCACCTAGTTGCCTATAAGGATTCGTTTCTTAGAGAACACATAAGGAAAGATGAAATTTAAGTGAAGAAGCGTCCTGGAGTCAGAAGCCTTCTCGGCCGTGAGCCCCAGAGGGTGAACCACTGGCCTCTCTCTGTACCTCCTCCTCTCTGTCTGCAAAATGATGGTGATAGTACTTGGACTTTTGACCTTACAGGGCTGTTTATAAATGAAACACTATGAATGTGAGCTAAGATCAATATTCCTAGAATAACTCCAAAAGAGGAGAAAACGATTTCACATTGAAGTATGCCTTAAGAGGAAGAAGGGGTGTGTGTGTGTGTGTGTGTGTGTGTAGTTGTAGGCTACATTTTGCTACTGTCCTCTGGTATGGTCTGTTGCTAAAACAAAAATTATTCTTACCGGGATAGCTAGGTGGTGCAGTGGATAGAGCACCGGCCCTGAAGTCAGGAGGACCTGAGTTCAAATGTGACCTCAGACCAAACACTTGATACGTACTAGCTGTGTGACCTTTGGCAAGTCACTTAACCCCGATTGCCTCACACACACACACACACACACACACACACACACACACACACACACAAATTATTCTTATCAAGGGAAGGGGAAGAAGGAAGAACCATTTATATAGCACCTATTATGTACCAGGTATGTGCTAAGGGCTTTATAAATATTTTCTCATTTGATCCTCACATCAACTAGAAGGCAGGTGCTATTACTACCCTCATTCTACAGTCAGGGAAACTGAGGTAGACAAGTAAAATGACTTGCCCGGGGTTACAAAGTTAGGCAGGATTTGAATTCAGGTCTTCCTGACCCCAGACCCAGCATCTGTCCACTGTGCCCCAGCTACCTGTTTAAAAAAAGAAATTTTAATCAGGTTATAAAATGTTTCAAATCTAAGCTTCTAAAAGAAAAGGTAATTCTCAGAACAGGTATTTAGCACTCATAACTGTTAGGAATTACCTGCCATAGTACAATAAGAATTAGTATTCCTTTAAGGAATGTAGTCCTAAAATTCACGTCTGAATATACATCTGGCTTATCACCAGATTGTAGGTGTCTTCGCTCCTACTCCACCTTTCTTCCTTGAGCCCAAGGAAGCCCTTCAATAAGAACATGGCCATTTGGGGCATGCGGCCATGGGAGCCATTTTCCCCTAATTTGTGGTAATATTTTATTTTTTGGGGGTGAGACAATTGGGGCTAAGTGTGGTTAACAAGTAAGTCCCAGGATCATGAAAGATGTGACATGAGGTCCTAGGAAGACATTGAACTGAATATATGAGATGTCTTCTACAACACTGGCTTAATAAAGCATTACTGCCTTTGGAAATACCTTTTTCCACTGACACAAGGCTTCTGATCCCGAAGAGCTGGCATGATTTCATTAAGAATGGGGCAAGCCCCATTAAGATTATTTCTTTTGTTATGACAGGGTTGCAAAACTTGACAGGGCTATAGCTGTAGTTTGCCAATATTTTAATAGATTTAATATTTTATTTTTTCCCCAATTACACATAAAAATAATTCCCAACCTTTTAAAATGTTGCATTCCAAATTCTCTCCTTTCCTCCCCCACCCCCTACCACTGAGAAGGCAAGCAATTTGTTAGTTTTTTTTTATCCAGATTTTAGCAAAGCATTTGTTTCAGTCTCTCATATTACTATACTTGTGGAAAAGTGGAGACATGGTGGGAGTTAGGTCAGAACTGGTTGAATGAAGGTCAGTGGTCTGATGTGAACTAAGGATTTGCTCTCTGGTGGAACATGCCAGGGATCTTTGTTGTTGAACATTTTGATTTTAGGTTTCCAGGCCTAGATGAAATGCTGTTGCAGATGATCCCAGGTCGGGAAGGACAGGTTGTTACCTGCCACATACCTGCCTACATGCTAGGTGACCAGATTAAAAAATATTTTGAACATTGGGCTGCACAGGATATGGTGAAATTCAATAGGGGTAAATGTAAAGTCTTACACTTGGGTTCATCAAGTCAGCTTTGCAAGTCCAAGATGGGAGCGGCCTAGCTAGACAACAGCTGGTCTGAAAAAGATGCTGGGGTTTCAGCAGACTCCAGTCTCAATATGAGTTAGCAGAATGAAGGGACAGCCAAGAAAGCCCAGGGGGCCATCAGAGGTGACTGTTCTTGGGAGGTGATGGCCATGTGGTATTCTGCCCTAACCAGGTGAGGTTTGGAGGGTGGGTTCAATTCTGCAGACCACATTTAGCAAAGAGATAGGTAAGCCTGAGGTTGTCCTGAGGTGGTCAGTGAAAGGGGTCCAAGACCTGTGAATACGAAGCCTTAAGAAGACAAACATGATGGGGACAGGATCGCTGTCTTCAGGTTTAGAAGATTCAAGAGCTATCACGGGGCAGGTCTTTAGTGGGAACAGACATGTTCTGCTTGACCCCACAGGGCAGAACCAGAACAAATGGGTGAGGCTGCAAGGAAGCAAACTGAGGTCTGATGGTGAGTAACACTTACTAACATGTGGAGCCATCCCAAGGGGGAATGGGTTCCCTCTCACCAGAGGTCTTTGAGCAAAGGCTGGAGTAGGCAGGAGGTAAAGGAGATTCTTGTGCAGTTCCTTTCCAGCTCCAACATTATGTGGTTCCATGAAAACAACCAAACTGGAACTTTTATTAAAAAAAAACAACAAAAAAACACCTAACAGAGAAAACGGCTTAATATCTCAAGAAGGAAAAGATTTCAAAGAAAGGGTGATATTTTGCTACTTCTGGAGATAAACCACAAACTTTTAAATAAAAGCTACAGTCCCACAGCTTTTTAAATTTCATGTTTATTCATACTTTTCAAAATATATGTACATAAAAAAGGAAGATTTACAACAGGAAAGATTGCCTTACATGCAACACAAATTCCAATAAATTCATGATGGGATCACACATGAGTATGAATCTAAATCAAGCTAATCTTCGCAAGTCCATTCCCTAGCCAAACTGAGGCTACAGAAAGGATCTCAGAAAACAGACGTCACGTGGAATGAATATGAAACAAACAGGTTTAGCCTCTGGCAGTACTCAAAGGACCAGAAAATGTACATTGAATATCTTAAGACAATAAAAATTTTAAGTGCCACAGGGAAGTTAAATTAAGAATCAGAAATGGAAATTTCTCAGATAGAAAGCTTAGTAATATTTAACACAACCTCACAATACCAAAACAAAATACAAAGAAAAAAGGGTTAGGTAGTCAGGCTTCATTTACTTAAAAAAAAAATCTCAGAGACGAAGCCACCCAAATGACGTTAAAGGTGCTGAGCAAAGGAAGGTGGGGCGGGAGAAGGGGACAAGATGGGTCTGGAATCTAGTTTCATTTATTTTAGCAAACTGCATGTTTTCCCACTTATCAGCATCTCTACATTAGCAACTATATAACTCTCCAATATTTCCCTTTAAAACAGCAAATAGGAAATGACAACTCAGGCACTAAGTCTTAAAAAATAATACATATATATATATATATATAATAACATTTGATTAAGAAGATTTTTATATGCTATATTTTTCAGTAACAGATCGATGACATGAAGAATCACAGCAACAATGCATTTCTGTAATATCATTTAACCAAAAAACCAAGTGATGTGAGAATTGTGCTTGATGTGGAAGGACTGCTCTGGCCTGGGCTGGTTAGGAGAACAGGAAGCTTCTCATTATAACAAATGGCCCATGGGAGCCTCATCCTTTCAGATTTTAATGGGATCATAATATATGTGGCTATTTCTCAAAAGCTAAAAGAATCCCCTCTGTTTCTTGTCGGAGAGTTGGCGGAACACTTTCACTAATAAAAGAAAGCTCTACAGCTACAACACAGAAGACCCTGAAGATAGAAATGTCACATTGCCTCCCTCTTTACTTCTAGTACCTGATGTCACATTGTTCTGTTCCTGAAGCTTTCTAAAAATATAAAAATCTTCTTTGCAATTGTTTAAAAGAAAACCAAATAGTAAAGCCTAAGCTCACCACTTAAAAGAAGAAAAAGGGGTTGGGGGAGACGGAAAAGAAAAAAGAACAAGTAGAGATTACATGGTCTAGAAAAGTCCTGAATTGTTGCAGAAACTAAAATGACTGAGGAGAGGGACAGGTACCGAGAATAGTACCTAAAGCTAACAAATGACTTAAGTTGGTTTATTTTAACTTCCCTCCCCTTGCTTTTCAAAGAAAAAAAATGCAATTTTAAAAGCATCGAAACTAAAACAAATGCACAATGACCTTCAGAAATAAGATGCTGAATTTCGCCATGGTGCCCCAGGCCTGCCATTTCACTTCTTTGCTCTGAGAGACTTCCTGGATTTGCCCTTGGTGGAAGACTTCCCATCCTTCTTCCCACTTGCTGCTGGCTTCTTGGAAGAGATGCTACCAGACTTCTTGATGGCTGGTGGGGCTGGTTTGGTTTTCTTGGCAGGGGTTTTGGCCTTGGGTGGGGCTTTCTTGGGGGGTGGTCTGGCTTTTCCTCGCTGGGCAGCAGGGGTTTTGGGCTTAGGTTTTGAATCTCTTTGTTTTGCTGAGGTGGCTTTCCCTCGGGATTTAGCTGGGGCTTTCTTCTGCAATCTGTTAAAAAGTGAAGCAAAAGGTAAAAGCTGAGCATACGAGGCCTCCTGTTTTCTAGGATGACAAAGAGCCTGCTGGCTTTGCCAAAAAAGTCATGATATAGATGGGAACTCTTATAAATGATTAGGGTCAAACCACAAAATGGCAAAGTTGGCCAAAGTGGAACAAAATTAATAGATGTTGTTTAAGTCCTTGCCTAGCTCCAATTTTGCCAATAAATTTTTATTTGTTTGGCAAAACACCAAATTAAACATTCACTATGCTTATGAATAGCATGCTTCTGGTTTAAAGCTTAATGGGGCAGCTAGGTGGTATAGTGGATAGAACTCCGACCTTGAGGTCAGAAAGACCTGAGTTCAACACTTGACACTTACTAGCTGTGTGACCCTGGGCAAGTCACTTAACCCCAACTGCCTCACCAAAAAGCAAAAATAAAATTAAAAATTAAAAAAAAAATAAGCTTAGAACTTGCTTCCAGAGTTCAAGAACTTTTAGGTACCAAAAAGAAAGCTCAAATGAATAAACTTTCTATTTGTTAAAATACTCTCTTGGTGGATGGGCAGCGGAGAAGAGTGGGCAGAGTGCTGGACACAGAAAAAGTCTGAACTATGTCATGCACTATTCAATTCAATAAGGATTTATTAAGTATAAGGCACTATGCTAGGCCTGGGCATACAAAACGTAAAGTATTCTCTGTCCTCAGCAAGTTTACAATCTACAAGCTGGCTGGTTCTACTCCCAGCTCTGCCAGGTGGGTGCTAAGTGACCCAGAATGAGTAATGTCACCTCAGTTTCATCCTGTGTAAAACGAGGGGACGGACTAAATGATCTCCAGTTCTAAAATGCTATGATCTTATCATCTATAAGAAGGTTGTGCAGTAAAGTATATGCTGGCAATAGCAAAGATTTTGATGACTCTTCTGCCAACAAAGCTAGGCAAGGTTTGGAATAAGGAATAGAATTTGGTTCAGGAGTATTATGAATTCACTGGTTTAAAGAGGCAACTGGGAAAGATGACTCAAGGAAAAGATTAAAAAACAAATGTATCATTAAATGAGGAAACAACCAGTGGTGCTAAAGGAGTTTCTGTCTTTAACTATGTTACATTCAGTAAGTAATTTAAGCTTTTTGAGCACCAGTTTTCCTCTTCTGTAAAATAAGTAACTGAAATAGATGACTTTTCAGTTCCCTTCTAACTCTAAATTTATTCTCCTAAGAAGTCCCTGGGCCTCTATTTCCTCATCTGTAAAATGGGATGGATGGAATACATGCTCTCTAGAGCTCCTTCTAGCTACAACACTTAGTGATTCTGTGACCTATAATTATTCTCCAGCCACAATTTGTTTATCTTGGATAAAGTAATTTCAAATTTCTATACCTTTTCTTAGGTGGTGGTTCATCATCTTCAGATTCTTCTTCCTCAGATGAATCTTCCTCATCTTCTTCTTCTGAATCATCATCCTCAGACTCCTCAGACTCTTCACCTTGCTGCTTCTCTGGAAATAACACTCCTGGGCTGTGAAAGAAACTCAGGTTAAAACAAAAATCCTACTCAGGACAGTCAAAACAATTCCGCCTTAAACAGCACATGGCAAAATAAGCAAAATAACCTAGTCCCCTACATGATTACAAATAAGGAGGTTACAATTTATTTTGAAAATGTAGGTGTCCCCCCCCCACACCCTTTATTAAATGTACATAAGCAGCACCAGGACTCCATGCTCCAATTTTCCCAGCTCCCTCATAACCACGACCTTACAAAAAAGTGTCATGCCTCCAAAAATTCAAACAAAGCAGTTCAGAACTTGAAATCCCAAAAGGGACTGAGTATTTTCTATTTTGTAAAAAACTGTACGGCATCAAAAACTAAGATCTTCCACTTTTTTCTGTCCACAATAATAGGAATTGAATTATTGGTCACTCTGATGAGTAAGCCTATAAAATAATACCACAACATACTAGGCTTTGAAATTTACATGAAGAACATTTCATTTGTAAAATACAACATATCAACAAAATTAAACCAAAAGAGTTGGTCTATTACTTAATAAGAAGTTCAATAAAATTTATGCTTGTTCCCAAAGTAGAATAAAACCACAATGAGGTTCTCTTAAAATATTAAGGATGTATGTCATAGAGTTTTAGTAAAGATTAAATTACATTACTCAGAGTAAGAGGGCATGGATAAGCTAGACTTTCCATCACTGGGTATACCAACACCAGTGGGATCACAAGCACTTGTAACAGGGGCTAGAAGCAGCACCTGGATTTCTCTACTTCCTGAGAAGTCACAACATATATCAGATAGGAATTCTTGACTCTCCTGCATGCTACAAGTTATGAAGCAAAACCAAAGCACTTCAGGAGCGTATGATGCTGAATCCCTGCAGCTCTCCATGGTATATGACCACAGTACAGTCTAACAGTCTAAGTTGGGATTTGCAGCATCAGATGCCAAAATTTAATTATTTGTTTGATAAAGAAGGAACAGCATAACTACTCACAGTCCAATGGATTTGAGAGCTGGGACCATTAAGAACTAGTTAGATGGAAACACTTAGCTCCTCCCAGCTATGAAACCTTAGGACTTAACCTCTCAAGTTCATTTACTCATCTGTAAGATGCAAAGGTTAGCCTAGAATTTAGGCCCCAGATGATTTCTGCTCCACAAGACCCTGACTCTATGAATTCAATTGCATTGTACAACGGGTCATGTTATCTGTAAAAACCTCTCTGTACCTGGGATAATATGGAAAACAAAGCTGGAAGGTGCCACTGAACCCCTTCCCAGAGATCTGTTCCATCCATCCATTCTTTTCGCATTTTTGTAGGGTTCTTTTCAGTAGATGCACTGAGAACAAAAAGCAAAAATCTATCAATCAATACTATAATATTGTATAAAACAACTGGTGCCTCTAGGATAAGGGTTTTTAATCTTTTTTGTGTCATGGTCCTTTCTGGCAGTCTGGCTTTTTTTTTTTTTTTAAATTGCATAAAATAAAATACCTAGGATTTCAAAAGAAACCAACTTGACTAAAATAAAGGTGTCCTTTTTTCTTATTCATGTTCACAGATCTCCTGAAATCAATCCACAGACCCCAAATAAAGAACCCCTGCTCTAGGAGAATATGCAATATTCTGGCAAAAAACTGGGCGTACTCCTTGGCCAAAGTTCAAATGTCTGCATTCTCGTGATATCGCAAGGGTCTCATGAAGCAGAGTTTGGACCAAAGCTGCCTTAAGAGATCCATTCCAGAGCCACCCGAAGGGGACAGACAGCTATCTTGAGCTGCAGCAAGGGCCAAGGATAGTTTGATAATATCCTGAAATTTATTCCAATGCTTTCTAGTTCTTTAAGATCAAGAACTGAACTCCCTCAAGTAGGTAGGTATTATACAATGACTTCATGGGGCACAGGCAGGGTTTTTTTTTTAATGTGGATTTAGACAAAAACTGAGAATGTGCATAAAAATTCTGTGTTCAAAGAGTAAATGTCAAATTAGTAAAGCTTCTATTTGTTAAAAAATTAAATAGTCATCTTCCTTCAATTCACAAAGTAGGCAGAAAGAGTATAACATAATCACCATGAGCAATTCCCTCCTCTGAAAAAGACACTTTAGACTGAAAAGAAAAACACTTCTAGAAAGCATGCCCTCAAATAAAAAAGTAAATGGCACATCCCATGAAAAACTCTAATCAAACTCCAAGACCATTTTTTTTTACTTAAAATAATTTGCTTTGGTTTACACTGTAAGTTTCTCTGAGTTATTTAATTTATTAGTTTCACGTTTTTCTTCAAACTTGCTTGCTTAGTTTCAGGTTAAGTCTTAGAATCACTTATATAAATAAAAGGCAGCTGAGTGGTACAGTAGATAGGGTACTGATTTGAATTCAGGAACATCTTCCTCGACACTTGCTATGTGACCGTGGATGAATCACTTAATCTCTCTGTTCCCCAGTTTCCTACTTTATAAAATGGGAATAATATAACAGCACATCCCTTTCAGGGAGGATCAAATGAGTTTAATGTGTAAAGTTCTCTGCAAACTTTAAAGAGTAATATAAGTGTCAGCTATTATTAAATGAACATTCAAAACCAGCACAAACAACTGTGCTTGAGAATAGAAAAATTTTCATGTAGTTACCCATCTTTTTCCTTTTATGCACCCCAGAATGATAAATCTGACCTCTGAAATCCTTTAGTCCAGACCTTCACTTTACAGATGAGGGGCATTTGAACAGGTTGTAGTGATTTGTTTGAGGTCCCTGAGGTTAAGAGTGGCAGAGCTAGGTTCTGAAATGAGGTCTTGTGACCCTGAGTTCAGTGCTTTTTCTATGAGCCACAAGGAATGGCCAGCCATGAACGGGGTTTGTCCCCTTAGAAGGGAGTAGTCCTTCCTCATCTGATCTCATAGTACTCCACTTCCTTATCTCCTGTTGTAATGTTTTGTTCTGGGTATCAACGTCACCGTCCCAACCTGACCAAGTGCTTAGTGTACGTTACACAGTTCATGTGTGGGTGAGTTAATGATGCCCTTGCATTTCCACTTCCACCAGGGAGGTACCATCTCTCCCTCCAGTGTGTCTGTGCTAGCACTGATAGCACAGTCCTTGGGCAAACACAGTGAGCTCCCCTGCCTACGCTGAGTGCACACCTGAGTCTTACCTTGGAAATTAGAATTGGTCCCTGGGTGGTTCTCCAAGACATATTTCTTCAGAGCAGTTGTTGAACAGGTCTTCGGCTCGTTCATGGCAGCAATAGCAGACAGGATTGCATCTTCCATCAGACTTCCACCAAGCAGGGGTTTCTCCCCTGATCTCTTCAGCTGTTTTCCAAGGAGGAAGAGAAAAGCATCAAGACAACACTCTCCCAAAGCAGGTCAAGACAAGACTCCTCTGCACCAGGTGGGTCGGAGCTCCTGCATTAGCACAGATATGTTTTAAATTAAAATGTCGCATTAGGGACTTTTGCTTTCCAACCACCAAGAATCTAAACTAACTAATTTAAAATCCCCAAACCCTTTTATGGACACTCTCAATTATTTTCTTCTCCCATTTGCCGCTTTCATACTGCTCAAAGTAGAATTAGTTGGCAATTCCTCAGGCCTAGGTATAGCTACCCCAATAGGTATATTAGTTAACTTGCAACTCATGTGAACTATAGGCTAAACTACTGTGCAACAGCACTTAATAGGCTCCACATATGCTGTTTTTGAAAGAATACGTACTACATTTTCATGGATGAAATGAATTAAATCCTTTTTATATCAGAGAATACTTCCTTTTAGCAATCTGAAAAATGAAGAAGCTGTGTACTAGTGAAAATAATAAATAACCCTATAAACCCTGTAAGGATAACAACAAAGAGAAAAGTTTAGCAACACTCAAGGTACCTTACTAAAGAAAAATACACGTACAGCATATTTCTGAAGTGGATTCAGGTAGATATAAAAGGTAACATAACGAGATCAAGGAAAAAAAAGGATTAAGCCAAACAAGTTCTAAAAATGAACCTTTGGCCTCTGACCTGGAATGTCCCAGAAGCTCCTTTGCCTGTGATCTGCTCTAATTGGCCTTTCTCTACTGCTCTCTGCAGTGCATTCTTTAACAGTTGAGGTCTGAGGGGGAAACAAAAAACACAAAACAGGTAACAATCATACAAATCCAAGATAACAAATTGGTAGACACAGTTTTCTAAGGTCCCTTCGACTTTAAACTCTTATGATGTTCTGTTTTCTTAAAACAGGACTGGCCAAACCACCATTTATAGGCACCTTGACAGCTTGCCTGAAGCAAGGCGACACGAGGCAATTTATCACTCTCGTTTCTGGTGCAATTCTGAACATGCGCAGACTTCCAAATGATGACAACTCCATTATTCATTTACCTACAAAATCTTATTTGACCACAACAACGATCACGTTTGGGTCCTTTTCCTCTGATCTCTCTGGGACAGGGACCTAGCAGTGGTATTGCTATGAATGCAGTTTTATAGCTATTTGGGGATAGGTCCAAATTACTCTCCTGAATGGTTGGAGTAGTTCACAGCTTCACCACAGTGCGTTAAGGTATCTATTTTACAACATCCTCTCCAGCACTCGTCTTTTTCCTTTTCTGTCATTTTAGCCAATTTGAAGGGAGAGACGATGGTACCTCAGAGTCATTTAGTATCGTCATTTTTATTATATTGGTTCGGCCTACCCACGAGCAATTAATCTATCTCCAATTGTTTAAATCTGTCTTTATTTGTGTGAAGAGTGTTTTGTAACTGTGTTCATACAGTTCCCGTATATGTCTTGGCAGATACACTTCCAAACATTTTAGACAGTTTGCAGCTATTTTAAATGGAATTCCTCTATCTTTTCTTGTTGGGTTCTGTTGGTAATATATAGAAAAGCTAATGATTTGTGTGGGTTTATTTTACAGTCTGCAACTTTGCTAAAGTTGTTAATTGTTTTGACTAGTTTTTTAGTTGACTCGAGGGCTTTCTAAGTATACCATAATACAATCTGCAAAAAAGTGACAGCTGTTTCCACACTGCCTATGCTTATACCTTCATTTTCTTTTTCTTGTCTAACTGCTATAGCTAGCATTCCCAGTACAGAACTGATTTGTAACGGTGATAATAGACATCTTTGCTTCACCCCTGATCTTACTAGAAAGGTTTCTAGTTTTATCTCCATTACTGACAATGTTTGCTCTTGGTTTTAGATAGATATTACTTATCATTTTAAGAAAAGCTTCATTTATTCCTGTGCTTTCTAGCATTTTTAAAAGGAATCGGTATTATATTTTGTCAAAGTTTTTTTTGGCATCTACTGATATGATGAGATTTTTGTTATTGATATGGCCAATTACGCTTACAGTTTTCTTAATACTGAACCAGCCTTACATTTTTGGTAAAAAATCTCATCTGGTCATAGTACATCATCTTTGCAATATATTGCTGTGATATCTCTGGTGGTATTTTATTTAAAATTTTTGCATTGATATTCATTATGGAAATTATTCTATTTCAGGCATCTTTTGAAGGATAAAATTATCATTTAAAGTGAGCCAAGAATCAGTTGCTGCTCTGCCTTAGGCAAAGGGCTCTAGCAAGTCTGAATAACTGAAGTTCTGTATCATTAGTACTATGTGTAGTTCCTCGATGCTAGGCTTCTAAAGTACTTCCTGACTCTTCTGTTTCATCCTTCTATTTAAGTACTGTGAAGTACATGTGCATAAGAATATGGTTCGATTCTCCTAGTACAGCGACTGGTACACAGTAGGAGCTTAATAAATGCATAATGATTGAGTTTCTTGTTGATCTTCACTGAAGTACTCTCCACTAGGCTTTTCTCCTTGGAGTTTCTTCACAGGAGTAGATCTTCTTAACATACAGCTCTATCATGTTCCAATAATTGGTTTCAATGAGATCAAATTTGCCTTCCTGCTTCGGAGTCTTTAAGACTTATACAAAGCTGCCTAAGGCCATGAGTTTCACTGCTGGCTCTTTTTTGGACTTTGTCTCCTGTGAATTACTGGGCAGCTCTTCCTTACCCACTCTTCTCGATATGAAGCCCTTTTGATTGTACTTGCCAGACTCTAGACAAACCTATCTTTACCAGCCCTTTTTAGGTATACTTCATCCAAGATCACGAGCTGGGTCCAGAAATCCAATACCGTTCTGACATGATCTCAACTTGTTCACTTGGCAAGATCACTGAATATGAGTGGTGGAAGGGTCTCCGGAGATAGTCTGGTCCGGCGCCTTTCCACAGCATCAGTTCTCTTTCTGACATACACTCTTTTTTTCTAGCTACACTTTAGTAAAACTGATAGCTACTAAAAACAAGTCATGTTTCCCAATCTGCCTTTCCCTTCTTTAGTCTTTGGCAGGATAGCATTGATGAAATGACCACCTGTGACTCTAAGACTGCCCAGGACTTCATAAACCTTTGCCATGTTTTCTATACTTTGTGGTAATATCATTTGAGTTCCAATGACTCAATAAAGGTGGTCAGTATGAGAAGTCTCGGGCAATTCTCCATTATAACCCAAGACAGCAGAACTCTGCACTCTTAATGTTAGTTTGACAAATGGCTGTTTCGGTACCCTTCACCAGACAATCAACAGCTAGTATTCATATCTTTTGCCTCTCACTCTTATGGGATTTATATTTGGATCATTCCTTGAAATATAAGCCACTGTTTTCTCTTCAGAGGTTCCAGTCACTATCTCCCATTGCTATGAAAAGCATCTCATAGTTATTCCTTAGGTCCAAGTGTTCAAAATTCCTTCTTTTTTTCCTTATTAACAACTTGTTCCCATCCTCTTGACACAGGTGAGGGTTCCATTCTAACTCTTCAGATCTTTTTCTTCTTTTTTCACCATGAAATCTTTCTTCCATTAAAAAAATGAATAGTATATTTTCGCTGATGACCTAGAGTAGAGACACATTCCTCAAGGCTAAAGGGGCATACTTATGGGAAATAGGGAAATCCATGGAAAAATATGTTCAGCAGGTTGTTTATGAATGACCTTAAAAATGTTGGGATGAGACAAAGTGATATGGAGCTCATCTTCATAGATGAAACTATGACAATCAATGAACTATCTGGAGAGAGTCATGAGAGAGAGAAGTAGATTTAGGACTAAATCTTGGGATATCTACATCTAGGCAATGAGATGCAGAAAAAGCTGTCAAAAAAGTAGGAGGAAATTACGGGTTGTATTGGTTTCATAAAAGCCAAAGTTTCAACGAAAGGATAATCAACATCGTTAAACGACACAGAAAAGTCAAATAACATAATGAATGATAAAAGACCTTTGGATTTATTGTCTTCTATGTATTGATAAGCAATCTAGAAAACTACAATGGAAGGAAATGCTATCACACTGAGGCACATATTCTACAACATTAGCCAGAAAGGTAGTGTGAAGGAAAAAACATTGCACAAAGAGTAAAAAGAACTGGGTTTAGGTCCCTGCTTTGCAACCTTAGGTAAATCCCATTACCTCTTTGAGCCTTTGTTTCTTTACTTATAAAATGAAGAAACTGGATTAGACCTCTGAGGTTCCTTCCAGCTCTAACACTTTATGATTCTAACATAAACAAGCTAAAGTTCGGTTCATTGTCTTTGTTTAAGCCCTACAGAATCACACAGAAGAGAAAACTGCCGGGGAGCTACTGCATATACCTGTAACTACCAGTAATCCTATAATAGAGGGACTTGCAAGTAAAATGAATTTCCATGTTTTAAGTGTTCATACTGTATTTCTTCCCCTGAGTTTGTCTTTTTGGACACAAAAACTATTTCAATGAAGCTCACAAAATACATTCACAATTTCATGATTCCATGTGTTAAGTTCTAAAGAGTATTAAATAAATTAATGCTTAAATTTGGTACTCTGAAAATAACTTAACAGTTTTCTAAAAATTTTGCTTCTGGATTAAAATTTTAGCAACTTAATCTGCCTCAGTTACTAAAACAAGAACTGGCACTAGAGCAAACATTATTCTATACTCTGAGTGGTGTCCTTCTGTAAAAAAGGTTCAGGGCAAATCTTAGGAATTCTATTTCACTAACAAGCAGTATTTTACACTTCAGACTGAAGACCCATGTTTATAAATGAACGAGGCATTATGTAGCACCAAACAATTAACTGTGAAATAATCACCCTATCTACATGTCAATGTATAATTTCAACTTCAGCTCCAAAGAGAAATTCTAGTGACTGCAAACTCAAATAAATTCACATATGTGAGATCAAACTCACAACCAGGCATGGGAGATAAACCAAATGACAGTTAAAATATTTGTAAGCAGTAGCTTTTATAAAGTAACTACTACAAGGTTTTGCCCATAATTTTACATGATACATTTAAAACATAGATACTACAAAATCCATATGTGAAGGTGGACAAATGCTACACAAACCTTAAAAGTACTGAAAACATTCAAGGTTAAAGTTCCTGACTACAGTTCTGCTTAGTAATACTGAACATGCAGAGGAAATAAATTCTATTATTTTATATACTAGAAGCTGCAAAGACATTTTTAATCACACTGGACCAGAAGTTTAATATTCCAACCTGCCACGTGTCTAGAAGAACATCAGTCGTAACATCTGACATCCTCATTGCCCTGACCAAGCTCTAACCTTGGAAAGAGCCAAGGGAAAGACATCTTTAAATCTCAACATTTTAGAGCATGCATGTTTTCAGTTTTACACTATGTATCCATACCTGATATCCACTTTAAGTTTAGGGTAATACTGAGACACATATTTCCTGATCAGGCTGTAGGAAGCTTCTTTAGGTTCACAAAGGCGAGTGAAGGCCAGCGGGAGAACATCTTCCAATTTTACCTGATGTTCTGGAGCTAATGTAGAACTACTCTTCTGAAATGCAACATATCCCAAATATAAGTCACTCAAGAACACATAAAATTTTGTTAAGAAATACTTCAACATGTAAAACACTATGTCAAATAGTGTAGATGTAGGAGCCCTTACTCTATTCAAAGCTTTGACAAGTCCTATGGCAAAGATCTAAATATACGTCTTTCCTGCGTTTCCTTTCTTTTTACTACATATATGTCTTGCTTCCACAAATTATTTGTTAAATCCATGGAGCTGAGAGAAGTATTAATTTCTTTCTAGATATCCAAAACACATTACACACCAGAGGGGATAGTCTACAGTATAATGCATACAGTAGGTTTTGCAGAAGGAGCTTCTATGTAGGTCTCCATTAGGACATCATACCCAGACTCAATGAGCCCAGAATATGAAGAGGAACCTAAAATCATGGCAGATTTTTGGGGGCATTTAAGAAATCACTCCCTGTATTCAGTAACACAGAATGTTTAACAAGCTTGTATTAATGCTTACTATGTGCTAGGAGGCCCTGTGCTAAGTGACAGATGACTTAGGGGTAAAGATCACTGCAAGTGAGCTTGTTCAGAATCTGTATGCTCTCTTAGAAGAAATCCACATGTGGAGAAGATGCAGAGTTACAAGGATGAAGGGAACAATCTTGCCTTGAGCTGTATGTAGAGTCAGCCCCCAACTCATCCACTGGTGGTTTTCAGAATTATTTGTTTAAAACTTCTCTGTACTATGCATTTTTCTAGTCATATGATCTTAGATATAGTAATTAGGTTCCCAGTTGGCTCCCTGAAAGTTTATTTAATTCATTTATAATCTGCACAGCCTTCAGTGTCCAGTTGTTTCTAAGGGAATATAAATTCTCAGTTCCAACATGGGATGACAAGACTGCACTTTCTTCTGTCTGCTGTACCCATCCTGGGGCCTCAGAGCCCTCTTATCTCCTAGCTGCTCCTGGGACTGGAGCTTAGACAAGGAATGATCTGGGAAGAGACAAATGGTGATCGGTCTCTCACAACTCTTACCTTGAACTAGTGCTAGGGGGAGGGGGAGTTTGGTGAGGAGTAGGGTTGGTGTGGCACTTCTCTGACATGCTTCTCTTCTCAGGGCCCCAGGCATTGGCTGACCCAATTTCCTTTTCAGTGACCTTCCCTGTTGTTTTCCAAAAGCGTTTCTCTTTTTTCCCTCTGACTGTGGAACAAAATAGTCTCACTACATTTACCCTACCACCTTCTTGTCCCAAAGCTTTGCACGAAGGTCTTGAAGGAAATAGCATATAAAGGTTCCCTAGTATATATCTTTTTTCCTCTCTACTACTGAGAGATTTGGAAACATAAAGGCCTCACAGATAATGGTGAGGTCTTTCATATACTGTAGTGGGTTTTTGTTAACTGAATTTGGGTATACAAAGGACTGAATTAAATTTCAGATGAACACATCATCCCCAGACATTTTGTCACAGGAACTTGGGATGGAGTGAAAAAAAGGACTCTAGGTCATGGAAAATCTCAAGGGTTGGGGATGCCCTTTTGGGTGAAGGAATAGAAGAGGTTAATATCCACTTTCCCTTTCATCACCATCAAATTTAGCAACTCTATCTTTAAATGACACTCAGAAGAGGTAAGATGCAAGAAGGGGTGAGGGTAGGGGTTCTAGGCAGCACTAAGTCTATAATAACAACTGAGTGGGAGAAGAAAAGTCTAAGCTGGGAGGAATAAGAGATTTTATGGCCACTTGGTTCAAGCCTAGGGTGGCTGTTTACATCTAGGAAGTATATGTCAATAATCAGCATAGAGATAGTTTAAATTTTATGGTATTATATATTTAAGAGTGTATATGTGTGTGTATGTCTGCTTGGTTGTGAGGAAGGATGAGAGATAAAAAGCATATAATAAATAAAGAGGAAGAAAACCAAGTCTAAGTGTAGGGAAGGTTTGAAAAACTTCACAAAAAACTTATCAAATCAAAATAGCTAAATATAGTAATAATGTAGTGTTCAAATATCTTCTGGACATATACATCTTACCTTTCTGTCTTTAGACTTCTGAACAGTTTTTCCTGCATTTGGGACCACCACAAAACTCCCGGAAGCTCCTTTTCCTTTTACCTGAAATAGTTTTAATTGCAATGACAACTGTTTCTATTTTTAAATAAATTTATAATGAGAATTTAAGCCTTCACACTACATAGTGTAGTGTAAATTTAAGCCTTTGCACTACATTTACACTATAGTGCTTTGTCATATAGACCCAAAGTAAAGCCCTAATTTAATTCTACAATGGGGAAGGGGGACCTCATGCTTTCTAAATAATTCAGTGAACTACATTAACAAATGCTAATTGTGAGGACCACAGAGCTCTATTAAGAACTGCCAATTAAGGGGCAGCTAGGTGGCTCAGTGGATAGAGCCCCAGCCTTGGAGTCAGGAGGACTTGAGTTCAAATCTGGCCTCAGACACATAACACTAACTACCTGTGTGACTCTGGGCAAGTCACTTAACCCCAACTGCCTCACCAGAAAAACAAACAAACAAACAAACACACAAAAAGCAAAGCAAAAACAAGAACTCCCAGTTAAAGGGAAGAAAAAAACTCTCACGTAAGGTAAATACATAGATATAGATAAATGTATATATGCATCATATTCTTATAAAGATAACCACTTCCCAGCAGAAGTCTCCCTGTACATAAGTTATGTTTTCCCATGATTTCCAGCTTGAGAAGTCACCCTTCTTTTTCTTAATAGGCAGAGATTATTATTCTTCAAGATTATTTTTCAAATGTTCTTTTTTTAAATCATCTTTCCTTGTATCAAAGTTGATTCCTTTATCTAGACGTGAGTTCTCTCTACCCTGGCTTTCTCTAGACTGTTTAAAAAACTTGATTTTTAATCAAGGAAAATTTAGGCTAATGCCCAAATCAGTTTAACACAAAATTCTCATGACTGTTTGTGTCTCTTGTTAATATGTTTTAACAAACAATTTTAAAGTTCCAGGACACAGAGGAAAAGATCTTTAGTGCCAGATAGGTGGCCATGGCTCAAACAAGACAGATTTTTCCTCAAACAAGTGATATGCTAAAGTTTGGTGTAGTTCAAAGGACAATGGACTGGAAGTTAAAAGATCTGGGTTCTAGGCCTGGCTCTGCCACTACTGTAATGATGTGGACTTAGGAATGTCCCTTCTCCTAAGCCTTGATTTTGAATCTGCCATTAGCTCTGCCAAAGCATCTAATCCCTCAAAAAAAAAAAAAAGAATATATTGTTACTTCTAAAGTCAGTTGGTACTCTGGTTTAGGAAAACTTCTCAGACATATTGAGTCAGAATAAGCTATTAACTATTCACCATGTTAACAATGATAGGTTTTTGGGAAAACAGGCTGAGAACAAGCTTCCCAACCAAATATGAGATAGATACCTATGGGGTAATATACTTAATACATACTAGAATACAATATAATATAATATGCTATATAATGCCCAAATATCCCCTTTGTTTGAATCATCATTACCTGTCTGATGACTCCTCTCTGTAATTCTCTCTTCAGTGCCTGCTTAAGAAGATAGCCTCTTCTCTCCAGCTCCAGTGAAGGATATTTGTGAATGATATATTTTCGAATGGCAACAACTGATGCTCCAGTTTTCTGAAAGCAGGCCTGGAAAATAATCAATCTGTCAATCAACCAACATTCATTTAAGCACTTAGCACGTGGCAGGTGCTGAGGACCCAAAGTGAAACAAGAAACAGTTCCAGCTTTCAAGACTGACTTTTCATTCTATTGGGAAAGACAATGACTATATGGATAAGCACAGATCAACAAACCAGTGTTTATTAAGTACCTACTATGGGCTAGGCACTGGAGATACAAAGAAAAGAAAAAGATATTCCCTACTCTCAAGAAGCTCACAGTCTAATGGCAGAGACAATACGCATGGCACACACTGCAAGTCCTCCAATACAACGGAAGCTCCTCAAGGACAGGGACATTATTCTTTTTTTTCCTTTGTATCCCCTGATGTTAGCACTGTGCCAGACACACAATAGGTACTTAATGTTTACTGACTGACAAAGTGAAAACATAGTCCTTAAATAAAAGGTGGTCAGGACACCATCAGTAGGAGTGGATCAGGAAAGAAGATGGGTGCCTGGAAGTGAGAGACCCTCTGAGGCTGAGAGAAGAGGAGAAAGAGAATTCAAGGTCCAGGAATGTCCAATACCAAGACCGGATATGTGTGACAGGGTGTCGAGTGGGAAGAATTGAGAGGCCTGTTGGGCCTAGAGTGTACCAAAGTCAATTATGTGTCCTAAGGCTGGAAGTTTAGCTGGGACCAAATTGAAAGGGGCTTTGAAAGCCAAACACCAGAATATACATGGTAGTTTGGGGAAGGAGAGGGTTAGTAACTGGGGTTAGGTTCAGGAAAGGCTTCATTATAGAAGATGATGCTTGAGGTGAGTCTTGAATGAAATGAAGTATTCTGAGAGGTGGAGGTAAGAAAGCCTGATGCAAGATGGAATGTTGCATGTGATGGACAGCATAAAAAAAGTCATTTGGACCATGGAGCTTAGGAGGGAACAATGTATGAGACCAGAAAGGTGGACTGGTGCTAGGTTGTGAAAAGTCTTTAAATGCCAGACAGCTTATATTATATGATCCTAAAGGTAACAAGAAACTACTGGGGTTTAGTAGTTAAGAGAGTGACATGATCAGACCTACCCTTCAGAAAAATCACTTTGGCAACAGGATGCACTGGAGAAAAGAGAGAACAATTAAGGGGCTATGGATGAGAAACTGTGTGAAGAGAGGGAGGTGGGGTTGGGTGTAAGAGGTACTGCAGAGGTAAAAATGACAAGATTTGACAACTGTTTAGGTATGTGGGGTGAGAGAGAACGAAGAGTTAAGGATAATGACAAAGCTGTGAACTAAGAAGACTAGAAGGTGATCTCAACAGGAATAGGGAAGTTTGGAACAGAGGTAGTTTTGAGGCAAGGATAACAAGTTTTTTAGACAAGTTGTATTTGGACATGCAGTTTGAAATACATGATACATATTATAATATAAAAATACATATTATGTATAAATATATAATAAATAGGCAGTTAGAGATACAGGACTGCACCTCAGCAAAGAGGAACTGGATATATAGATCTGAGAGTCATCTATGCAGCTGATGCAGATGACTGTCTTATACCAAGAGAAAGAATGGAGAGAGAAAAAAAGGTCTAGGACAGAGTACATTTACATTGGGGTACATTTACTGGGTGTTATATGGATGATGAGCCGACAAAGGACCCTGAGAAAGAGTGGTGAGATAGGTAGGGCAAAAAAAAAACTAGACAACAATAGTACTTAGCACAGTATCTGGCACACAGCAGATACTTGATAAATGCTTGCTGAGAGTGTCATGAAAATCCAGGAAAAAAAAAACCAAAAACAAACAGAAGCCAGGAGGAAGGGTGGTCAACAGTGTGAAATGCTGCAGAAAGATCAAGAAAGATGAAGACTGGTTAAAAAACAAAAAAACCCACTCAGATTTAGCAGTTAAGAAGTCACTGGAAACTTTGGAGAGAGTAGTTGCAGACTGACTTTTGACCTCATCACTCCCCTGAAAAGTACTGAGACGTGATAGGACAGGATGTTGAGGAAATGAATGTAAACTGCTTTTGCAAATTCCTATTTGGCTGTGAAAGGGAGAGACATAGTAAGGTAGCTTGAGAGGATGACAGAGCTGGTCTTGGTGAGGTCTCTTTATTAGAAACTGGAGTAAAAGAAGATAGAACAAGATATGTCAAAAGGCTTTGAGGGAGGCCATGTTAAATGGCCTTTCTCAGTAAAGTACAAGCAATGATCCTTGGCTGAGAGGGGGGGGAAAGTGGGAGATGTGAGAAGTTTTAAATGAGTTTCTGTGGGAAGAATAAAGAATCAACTAGGGAATAAATAGGCATTAGGGACTACCTTTTTGCAGTGAAGACCCAGTTGAGATGGTCCAAATCTATGGTGGACCAAATCAGCTTGATTTCCACCAGTTCTATATAACGACACATCAGCTGGTGCAGAGAAGGCAGATGTTGGTAGTAATCTTGGATCAGGGTTTAACAAGGGATCTGATTTAAGGGCAGAGGACAGTGTAGCACTGAATTGGTTAAATCTGTGGTTGAAGGTGATTCTTTGTTCCTCCTGGGTCCTCTCTTCTCCAGATTAAACATCCCCAGCTATTCCAATGACTTTTACATGACAAACTCAGGGCCTTTCATCATCCTGGTTGCCCTCTTCTAGACCTTTCCAGCGTATCAATCTCTATGGTGGCCAGGACAGAATACAAAATTCCAAATAACCTCTGACTAGGGCAGAGTATAGAGGAACTATCATGCCTGTTTCTAAAAGCTATGCATCTCTCTGCCCATTAATGTGGATCCATTAATGCCTATATCAGAAACTTAGCTATGAGAATGGAAATTAATGGAACAAAAAGGCTTTTTTTTTTTAAACAAACAACAACAACAACAACAAAAAACTCCCAACAATTTGCTTAGGAATACTCTTAAATTACCTTTAGTCACGTTCGGCCCATAGAGCTATTTATTTACAACAGTATAAAATGGTGTTACTCTAAGAACATACCTAAAAAACAAAACTTACTAATTCTAACAGCTACCTATAGTGAGTATAATTTTTAAATATAGCTCCTTATCATCTATTACCTTAAAATAGAAATTTTGTGGGTAAGCTAAAAAGCATGTGCTATATCTTTCTGATAATAGTTTAATTTTAATTAACAATGCTCAGCAAATGCAAATATGTCTATCTTTTTTAAAGTATTATTAGGGGCAGCTAGGGAGCATAGTGGATAGAGCACTGGTCTTGCAGTCAGGAGGACCTGAGTTCAAATCTGGCCTCAGACACATAACACTTACTAGCTGTGTGACCCTAGGCAAGTCACTTAACCCCATTCGCCAAAAAACAAAAACAAACAAAAAAAAAGGATTATAACATTACAATGGTTCTTTACTATTCAAATACTTGCTGAGAAGCAAAACATAAGACTTAGATTTTCTGGAAAAAAAAGCCTCTTTTTAAAAAGTAAGCAAATGATAAACAAAACTAACATAAAACTTAACTGCCAAGAATATAAATTTAAAATGAATTTTCACTTGCCTTGATGGCCTCTGTGAGGATTGCATCCATTTTAGGGCGTGAGGAAGCAGCCATGTGAGTTTGTTTCTGTGCCCTAGCAAGTTGGCTGGCAGAAAGAGTAGCCCAGGAAGGGATTGTTTTTTTCACTTTCTTCTCCTTTTCTTTAGTCTGATCTTTCTCACTTTAAAACAATAACAGAAAGCTCAATTAAAGAAGGTAAACATGGAGGGTCATCTCTGAAAGGAAAGGCAACCAATATAATTTTATTTTTTAAAACCTAAGAATTTATGTAACAGGAATAATTTTTAACACATCAAGTTCCAAAAATGAACCAGAAGGTGTTTATGTTTTTCTTGCAAGGAAGAGGAATCATTCAGATTAGCAATGGCCTGGAGGTCCAGAACATATAAGAAATTACGCCAAATGAGAAAAAAAGCTACAAGTCCAAAAGCGATTTTAATAAAAAAGTGAAATTGACCTCATAGCCCCATTAACACATTCTTTGAGATTACTGCTTCATCCCATAGTGAGTACAGTATCATTAAAATACTAAGAAGCATGGAGCAAGACTTCTGATAATTATACAGACTGGTTACAATTTTTGGTAACTACTTGCAAACTTGGAAAAGGGTAAAGGATTCTCAAAAGATTTAAACCCAGAATTTATAGTTCCTGGGGATTTTTCTCTCTCTATTAAAAATTATTAAATACGGGGATAATTAGCATTGTTAGGTCAAGAATATAAAGGATAGAATGAATTTGAAGTCTTTCTTTCTGCTACCCACTCTCTTGTGAAAAACAGAGAATCAACTCTTTGTTATTCAAATTCCATCATTTGCAGATTAACCATGGCAAATCTTTTCAAAATTTGAGAGTCATCTATTCATTTTAGTAATGTTTAAAAAGACCTTCTTTTAGGGAAAGTATAAACTAGCAATTTGGGAGAGGGTGAGTAGAGAACAGCAATTTCTGCTTTTGGTTAGTAAGAGATATTCTTCACATGGAGTTAGCAGAAAGATGGTAAATTTCTTCCAGATCAGATCTTTATAGTACAGTTATTTTGTCTGAAGTGTTTTACTTTATGAATGGTAAAATCAGGCACTCACATCCAAAAAAAATCTAAGTCTAAAAACACTTTATAAAGCCGAATGAGTTATTTTTGAATTATTTGATTAGCTTCATCAGTTCAAAGTATAACATGTACCTAAGTTCAAAACCTATGCAGCAGTACTATATATTTTTCTTCTCCAAATCTGCAATGGAATGATTCTATTTCTATTCCTTTTACAAGGAATCTGGTTCATCAATAACTATGATTCAGGGGATGACATAGCTACTTACTCCTTTTTGGTTTCTTCAGAAGGCTTGTTTTCTCCCTTTTCCTCTTTCTCCACTTCCTTTGGCTGTTCAGTTTCACTTGACGTAGCAGGTGGAGTTTCATTTTCTTGTTCTTCTCCAGTAGAAGCAGACTCCTCTGAACTTATGTCTGGTTCTAAAATTAAATTAGTAGAATTGCATGAGTATTTAGAAACCTCAGGTATAGGCCACTAAACAGAAAAAATGCAACTCTGATTTAAAAAAACAACTATCACTTTAAACATATGTTCAGTAAACCACTGAATACCGAAATCAGCCTCAAACTGACATTATGAATCCTGAGTGTGGCCATTTTTTACTTTGCAGTAAGTACTCCAGTACTTACTTACTCAAGTTATCTATCTAGGGCACAAATCTATATTGATATAACAAAACAGGCTCTTGTCCAGTAAAGCTATGGAAAGGGAAGCAAACATATGTATATACTTCAAGATCTATGATTTCACTTGTTTATATACTTCCTTCACTATTGAAAATTACAATCCATCTATACCTCATGATTGCTGTCTGAAAAAATTATCAACAAGTGGCCATTGTTTTGGTGATGAGCCATCCCAACACTTAGCTTGGCTGGTCTTCAGGTAATACATACAGTCCACAATGGAGACAAACTTGTCACCTTTTAGCCTGGCAGTACTTATGAGAGCTTTCCTTCTATTGGAATAGCCTTTGAGAACTCTGGGCCACTTCCCTGCCATAAGGAGTTATCAGGAAAGGACTTTAATGCAGGACAGGAATACTTTTGTGTATTTCTGCCATCCCACTGGTCTCTCTCCTGTTATTATGCAATAATAACAGTGGATTTCAAAAGTAAAAGTTAGCTTGTTCTGACATAATGGGAAAGAGGAGGATAAGGAATAGGTAACAATCAAACACTCTCCAAGTGGAAGTTATGTATGAAAAGGAAGAATAGACACAAGGCTACCACTGTGTAAGGCTCAAGCTGAAAACTTGGAGGGAAAATGTCTGCATTTATCCTCAGTCTCTGTGTCTGGGCAGCTGCCTATAGTACAGCTTTTTCAGAACTCTGACTCAGACTAAAACATCTGAATAGATAGCTTCTTCCAAAACGGTTTTACTGATTCACAGCGCCACCACCAACCAATTACTGTGCCTATCGTCCTATAATCCCTCCAACATTGACCATTCCCATTTTTTGTCATCTTTGCCAATTTGCAGGATTGTTTTGGTGTGCATTTCTCTTATTATTAGTTATCTGAAACAGTCTTTCATGTGGTTGTTAGTTTGTTAACAGTTTGCTTACTAGGTGTATACCACAAAGAGGACATGGATATTCTTTATCAACAAAATATTTACAGTAGTTTTTATTAGCAACACTTTTTTGTGAGAACAAAGAATCACAAACCATATGCCCATAGATTTGGGAATGGCTAAATAAATCATAGTACATAAATGTAATAGAATGTGAGTGTGCTGTAAGAAGTTCATGTGATGAACGCATGAAGTGTGGTCAGATCTATATGATGATACAGAGTGAAGTGTCAAGAAAATAATGTATACAATGACTAAAATGTAAATGGAAAAAGCACCAAAAAAAAACCTAAAAGTGAATGTTGCAAAATTATAAAGAATAAGCAGGGCCCAAAAGAAGAGATGAGAAATCACTCTTACCCCACCCTACAGCAGATGTGGCAAGTCCTCAAGTGTGGCACACTGCACATATTTTCAGACTTTATCAGTGTATTGATCAGTTATGCTGATTATTTCTTTGTTTCTGTCTTAAAAATATACTATTTATTATATGAGATGGTTCACTGAGATGAGTATGGGGGGAAATTGACATGATGCAAAAAACCTCAAGATATCAATAAAAACTTATCTGAAAGAAAAAAGAAAGAAAAAAAGACTTCTTGTGGTTAAAAATTAGCCTGAAATGAGTTTTGATTGGGAAAGTTTGGTTGTTTTAACTGGTCTAACTATGAGGATCTTTTCGGGGGAGAGTGTGCTTCTCAGTGGCTTGGAAGCTCTACAGAATGCCACAGTACCACTCTACATGTTATGAGCCTTGAAGGGAGAAAAACTTGATGGGAGAAAAGTGCGGCAAAGTAAGGTCTGAGTAGACAGAGTTAACTGTTCTCTGAACTTGTTATCCTGGGAACCAACAGCTAATCAACTTTATTAATTATAATTCTCTTAAAAAGAGGGGGGCCAAGGCAGGTAAAGCCATATTTCATGTCTGGCTCATTACTACAAAGAAAAGCTGCAAGATGCAATACTTATGGACCTCTTACCTCTACAAGGTTGGAGTAGGAGTTATCTTTTTATAAATCTTTCAGGTCATGCTTGCCAATAGTTTTGTAACATTCACTTTTGACCTTTTTTGGGTGGTTCTTTCTATTTACGTTGTGTAGTTAATTGTATTTATTGTTTTCTTAACTAATTTCTTCATTTTGCATCAGTTCATGTAGATCTGTCCATGCTTATCTTGATATAGGGTGTCCCAAAAGTGTTGGTGCCATTTTAAGGCATTGTAATATCAAACAGCTCTAAGACTTTTGGGACAACATCATATGAATTGTGAGAGACTGAACTAAATTCACTGATCCAACTTGCAAACAACTGCTTCTCTTACTTTTTACCGGTCTGTTTATCCATTCCTTCTCTCCATTTGGGAAGCAGATTTGTACTATCTTTCTTATGTATTACTTCAATCTTCCAACCTACCCAACAATGCCCATTATTTACATTTTCCCCTCAGACTAAATCATATTTCAATCAAAGTTCTTTGATGGCTCCTGTATGAATTTTCCCCATACACTTTCAATTCCAAAATATTACTATCACGATAAAACCCTTTTATAACAATGGTAAATGGGCGGTGGTAGGTATCAACTGTGAGAGGCACTTCATGTTATGCTAAGAGATGTATTAAGATGCATTATACATTAGACCATAAATGGGGGAAATGATTTGACCTGAAGTGTAACTGAATCCATGGGATGGAATGTTGCATTGTGATTTTACTTTACTACTAAATAACTGACATCTTTCCTCTGTCTTTATATGTGTTTAATCATGAAATCACATATTATAATCCTGCAGAACAAGTAGCATACTCAAATATTGCTTTTTAATTTCTTTCCAGAGCCAATTGCTAAAATATGGGCTCATGTATTAATTTTTATATATGCTACACAATTACTTATCTGTGTACACAAGCTGTTACCATGTAAATCCCTTAAAGATAAGACGGTTTTGTTTTTGTATTCTGTTTAGAAACACCCAACAAATGTTTGCTGAATTGAGCTGTCTTGTTTGAATAAAGCTAGCCTAAGAAAAAACTACATACTGAACCTAGTGATACTTTTACTTAGAAAGGACTAGTCTGGACATTAATCCCTAAACAATTAGCCTTGCATACAAAAGAATAAAGTGGAACATTAACACATGAATTAGCATACTGTTTTCCCCTAATATTACTACTAAGCCAATTACCCTTTGCCACCAAGTTTGCATTTGGGGTTTCTCTCCCCTGACAGTTGGTATACACTCAGAAAATTAAAACTAATTGTAAAATCAATCTAAGCTAGTCAAATCTAATCCTTATTTTGTGAAAATTCATGGTCCCTTGAAATATCTCAAGAGGTTACTGTGAGATTTTAAAACAATAAAAGCAATTCATATATATCTCATTCCTAATAGGGAGAGAGAATGTGTTGAAATTTAAAAATTTAGTATCTAAAAGGAATCTTAGGCTGAGAATTCTTCCAATGGTCTACTTGTCAAATGATCTCATTTATGTTATTCAAAAAGTTCAGGAAATTCTACTCTTTCATACTGCCAAGACTTAAAAACTTACCCTGCTCACGAAGCCTGTGAATAGAATTCTAGTGATTGCGTTTACAGTTGAAAAGGGATTTTAAAAAATCATCTAGTCCAGCCTCCTCATTTTACAGTTACTTCTGACTACTTATTTTTAAATGACAATTCTATTTCAAGTTTAATTTGGAAATATTCACAACAGTCCGTAGTACCGTAGAACGACACTTTAATAAAACAACCTCCACCACAGCTTCACTTTACCTGGTTTCTCCTCCTCACCTTCAGCTAGTTTGCTTTTGGGAGGAGTTTCCCGAGTAGAATTCACAGCTCGACGAATGGGCATGGTGTTATCTTCAACCTTCCAAGAGAAATTCAGAGACAGCCAAAATCAAATGATTATGACAATGTTGCTGAATTAAATCTTTTCTGGTATTTTTAGGGGGGCCTAATTGGGTGTTAGAAGATGTTGGAGAAATCTTCAAGCTGACTCCAGGGTAACTTCTCTGAAGGTGAATGTGATTTTTTTTAAGGAAATACATCTCAAGCTTTTTATGTTCATATTTAAAGTGGCAACCAAAATTAACTATGTTTTATTTGGAATAAACTTCAAAGGATTTTAGGAATTTTTAGAAGAGTGGGAGATGAAAAGGATACCTGTGCACCTCTGGTTTTGTCACTCTCATAACCCAGGCTCCTATAAGTAGGGGAGGGAGAATGCACCACCATTTAGCCCCTGGCAGGGCTGGAAGTCAGGGACGGATCCAAGGGCGAGCTTCAAGAACGGGCCAGCCCCTACCTCACCTAACTTGTCCGCGTGGATCAGCTGAGCTCCTACTCTGAGTGGGAGTGCCTTAGGATGGACGAGTTCAGCTTCAGACGTATCAGTCGCCATTTAAATTAATTTCTAGGCCCAAGTGCAGGTTACACTCTGAAGCCTCAGCTTTTAACCACAAGGATTTTTCCTAATGGTTTCACAGTGCAGTGAGGAGTCAACCTAAAGTACAGAAAAGACCTGGTGTGAAGGTTAACAAAAACAAAACTAAACTAGAAAGTCTAAACTTACTTTAAACCCAAAGGAAAAGTATATATATATATATGTGTGTGTATGTATGTGTGTGTGTGTGTGTGTGTGTGTGTGTATGAATATATATATTTCAATGGGAAATGACTTGGTCATCTTAAAAATATGATAAAATAGCTAACAAAATATAAAACTATTTAAAGCAGCAACTAAGACAAATGCAGAAGCCAAAGCAGGAGCCTAAGCAGGAGCCTGTTCAGTATTAAGCCTTCCAGATGAACAGAGGAGAAAAGGCCAGGAAAAAATTCATAATGAATTAAATCTACTTTTATCTATGAATTTAAAGAGGAAAGCATAAGATTATAAGGAGCATATCTTTCCAAAGAAAAGAGAAAGGGTTTTAGTCTAAAGTGAACAGTCATGGAGAGTCTAAACTATCTGCACTACCATCTTACAGTTAGAGAAGCAATTTTCTTCTCCTTTAAAGGGAAATCCACACCCGTATTCAGGAAGATGGTGGTGGCACAGAATATTTCATCACAGGGAGATTCTATAGACCTGGGAAGCAAAGCTAGGCTTTAAAAGAGCAGCACTACATGAAGTTTCAGAGATGTATTGTTTATATTTTTAAATAATCAAAAGATAGAGCAAAAAAGTACAATTAAATACTTTAAGACAATACGATTTCTCATTGATTTTTAAAAATCATGACACACTTAGTGGATGGGATAACATTCTGTAACCAAAAAATTCTATTTACCTACAACGTGTTTAGTTGGGTTTTTTTTGTTTGTTTGTTTTTTAAATAAGCTTAACTTTTTGTAGCTCTGCACTTGTGGAAAAAAGCATAAATTAGCTAAATGACAGAATCAGCTATTTCAAAACTCTTAAATTGGCTCCAAGCCTAATTAGAAATACACAGGTTTTCAGTTCTAAAGGGAAAATTGTGGAGAATCTTGGGACTCAAAACCATAGAGAACACAAGGAAATTCACCAAATGTTGAGATCATTTGGAGTCTTATCCCAAAGCAAAGTACTCAATAGTAAACTGGGCAGTAAAACACTGCTTCTGATAGATAATGATAATGATGCTGATGATGATGAAAGCTAGCATTTATGTAAGCGCTTTAAAAGTCTGCAAAGTGCTTTACAAATAATATTTTATTATCAGGACAATCCTGGTAGGTAAATGCTATTATTATTTTCATTTTGCAGGTGAGGAAAATGAGGCACTGAGGGGTGAAGTGACTTTCCCAGGGATACACAGCTACTAAGAGACTGAAGCTGAATTTGAACTCAGGTCTTCCTGACTCCAGGTCCAAGGCTCTACCTATCCTCTCTATCCTGTTTACACCACCCAGCAGCCCAGTCAATAAATGTGTTCTATCAAAAACTATGTATTTGAAGAGGTCATATTCTCAAGATAGTCACATTTTTTTTCCTTCAGAAAGTTCTTTTCAGATGAGTTCTTGGTCACATAACCCTAGTACACACTAAGGGGTGTCTTATTGCTTCTCTAAAAAATATTTTAAAAGAAACATGTGTGACATTCAATAATCTAAATCTTGAGGATACACAAAAATCTTGCTACTGAAAACGTAATAGCAGGTGCATACTTAGCATGAATGCATGTTGCTACACAAACGAGTCTTTCCCCCTTTATCCTTGTTTCTGTCCATTCAAGAAATCTAAGGAAGGAGCTTTGAAAGCATGAAAATCTAGCCAAACTGAAAAGTTACAAATCAATACAAATATGTATTGACAAATGTATCCCATTTGCTAACAATGATATTGATTTCAATTGTCCAGAAAAAAAAAATTGTTTTAAGTATACAAGGTCTAAATACTTTCCAAATGCTACAGTTAAGGTATGTTTTTATTTTTTAACTGAAGGTCACAACGTTCTTAAAACTGTTTATCTTATTTTTTGCTTTGTCTTTTTTGTTTGTTTGTTTTTTAGGCAATTGGGGTTGAGTGACTTGCCCAGGGTCACACAGCTAGTAAGTGTCAAGTGTTTGGTCTGAGGCCACATTTGAACTCAGGTCCTCCTGACTTCAGGGCTGGTGCTCTATCCACTTTGCCACCTGGCTGCCCCTATCTTATTTTTTTAGTGATTAAGCAAGTCCTGGAGTGATTCTTAAACTCAATGGATTTAAAAAATAATGAAAAGCTGACAGACGAGCAGCTTCTAAGCACTATAGCTAAAACAATCTCCCACCTCCACTAAATTTTCCGGTGGCTCCTTGTTACCTCTAGGATAAAATACAGTCAGTTTGGCACTGAAGGGAGTGGGGAGAGAACATTTATTAAGCTACTACAACCATGTAAAGTGGGTTTTATTATTATCCACATTTTAAAGTTCAGGAAACTGAGGAAAACTGAAGTTAAGTGACTTGCGTGGGGTCAAACAGCAACTAAGTGTGTGAGATGGTATTTGAACTCAGACCTTCCTTACTTTGTTCACTGCGCAACTGAGCTGAAAAGTCCTTTGTAACCCAAACCCTTCCTTCCTACCTTTCTAGTCTTTTATTTTGCTCCCCAATCCACATACACTACAATCCAGTTACACTGGCCTACGTGTAGGTTTTTTGTTGTTGTTTGTTTTGTTTGTTTTTCCCGCATGCTGTCATTCTTGCAGCCTGGGATGCTTTCCCTTTCACCGATTTACATTTGTTACCTCATTCATTCAAATAAAAGCTCTTTGAGGGCAAGGACTGTTTTTCCTTCCCTCTACTTCCTTATTTGTATCCTCAGGGTTCTGAAGTGCTAGATGAATAGTAAGCACGTAATAAATTCTTGTTAATTGACTGACACCTTATGAGGGGCTCAACCCACTAAAAACATTAGGTTCCAGATGAGGAGAATGTAAGAACTTCATTTTAGATGTGTGACATAGGACACTTTAGACCAGTGGTATCAAACTCAAATAGAAACAGATCCCTGAAGACTATATATTGATTTAGGAAACCACAAATTAACACTATCCATGTTGTACTATACTTTTACCTATTTTGTTAAGCATTTTCCAATTATATTTTGATCTGATTCTGGCCTCACTGAGGAATTGTGGGGAGCTTATGTGGTGAGTTTGACACCTCTGCTCTAGTGTTTCTGGAAGTACCCCAGCCCCACAAAAGAAAACATATTTGTAAAATATGTTAAGTTTGTATCACAAAACTCTAAATATTCATGCTAAACCGGGCACCACAGAGATACTGCAACGAACTGGTTTTTCTTCTAAGGATTCACACAACTCAAAAGAAATATTCTGTACTCTATTCAGAAAAAGTACCTGCAGAATTGTGATAATTATGATACAATAAAATACACATATATACACACCCACACCCTTTTCTTCCCACCTATTACATAAGTTTCTCAGAAAAAGTAAACCACAAGGAAATCTGGAATCATCTAATACTGCATTCTGTATGCTCAAAAAGAACCTGAAAAATAAAACAAAGCTTTTGGGGATACAATGTTGAAAAATGTTTCCCAAGTGAAAGTAAAGGTATTTAAGATTTCAGCTTAAAGTTCTATCTTTTTCTGAGGAAGGGAGAAGTTGCACAATGCAAACTAATCACTGAAAAGTCTTATCACTACAGAAAGAAACATTAGCAAGGCAAAAGACTGAATATACATTGATCTCAGAGTGCCAGATAAAGTTTTACTTCAGGCTAGTTAGTGCACCACAGTTTGGGGGGAGGGGGTGGGGGTGGGCAAGAAGAAAAGAGTCACTAACCTCTTTTAAAATTCTCCAATTAACAAACAAAACCCCCACACGAAACACCTTAGCTTACAAGCTACTTTAGTATAAAGTCTGTAGTTTATCACTCTTATGGAAGTCACCAAAATCAGAACTAATGAACAGGGACTTGACTTTTCTCTTAGAGAGCTTAGGTTATTTTGATATGGTCAATAAAAAAGATATTGCAAAAGTAAAAAAATTGATAATTAACATTCAGTTCCTTTCAACTGAAAAGAAATACTAAAAGCATAACAAAGAACCTAGCAATCATTGCTTCAGTGTATTTCCATTATATATATATATATTTATGTAATTTATATAAAGCACTGACAGTCTAATTCAGCACAAAAGGTTTATGCAATATTTGGCAATGTACATACATTGCTGGAACATCGGGGTCCTCCCTCCACTTTCATATTTTGACCGCGAAACAAATATTTACTAAGTGTCTACTTAGTGTTTGTTTCAAGGAGGACAGCAGGGTGCACGGGGATACAAAATATTAGTGTAACACACCACAAGTCACTTGTAAACTTGTTAGGATTTTCACACAAGAATGACATTTTTCCAATTTGCTTAGTAATGGGGAAAAAAAGCCAACTTGATATGCTTTAAAACACTATGCTGAATTTTTAAAAGAGAACAGCTAGTTAAAAAGCCATATAGGCATAAAAAGTTAAATTACAATAACCGTAAAATAGTATAAATGAATGGAAACCATTTATATCTAGTTTCTAAAGTGACTAAATTCTGGGATCCCATAAAACTTAATAGCTTCACAGAGGTAAAATTTTTACTAAAATACTTCTGCCCACATGGTTACAACAGACACAGATGGATGCCACGACTTGTTTCTAAAAGAAGTCCACGATAATTTTTGAAGTTAATATAATAAAATTCTAGAGCTAGAAAATTCTTAAGAGGCTATCACATAATTAAGTTCAACCCTCTCCTTCACAGAAGAGAAAACTAAGACCCAGGGAAAGTTCACAGAACCTAGCTTCTCCTGGTTCCCAGTCCCGGGCTTTATTACGTTAAACTTTTTACTGTAGAATTCTCATAACCCAGTTTTGTCATGTCTAACCATCACAAGGCTACCTAAATCACCTCCAAAACACTCTTATCAAATCAGGGTAGCAGGTGATTTGGTAAGACTAGTGGTTAACGGGGAAAACCCTAAGATTAAGACTGAGCACGGTTGCACTTTGGCCCCTTCTTTATTTAGTGTGAATGGAGGGTGGCGGGGGGGGGGGGGGTTCGGATACCGGGCTTCAGGAGCGGTGAGAACTTCGCGGTGTACAAAGTCCCTCCACGAATGCCCCTTGGATTCTGCCCAGACCTGGCCAACCCTCCTGAGCTCGAGTCTTCCCAACTCCAGAGGACCCCCTCATGCTAAAGCGAGCCCCAAATTTCGCCCAGCCCCGGAGTGGGGGCGTGACTAGGAGAATACGGGAAGGAGGAGCAGTGTGCAGGAGGAGGCCTATGCCGGGCTCAGGCTCTGCCAATGCGCCCCGGACTGCAGGCCGCGAAGGCCCAGGAAGAGGGCCGAGGCCGGCTCAAGGGAGGCCATCCAAGGGCTGGAGGCGGCCGCCGCCCCGCTCGCTGCTGCCCGCGGGGAGGACGGCAGAGGCGAACGAGCGGGCTGCTGACACTCACCGAGCAGAGCGAGCCCCGAGCCTCGGCCTCGCCCCCAGCGCAGCCGGCTCCGTAATGGCGGCGGGGGGCGGAGCCCCGCGGGAGGACCGGGCCCATCGCGCGCGCCCGCAGCCAATCACCGCCTCCCGAATCTTTTTTGAGTTCAAAAGATG